TTCACACTTTCTTAAGGGTCAATTTTTTTTCAACCCTAGTATATCGTCAAATGCCGGATTCTCGATTCGGAAAAAAAACTGTTCATTGTATTATTCGTACTTTTCCATTTCTTTTGATATATTATAGCTCCCAGGGAAACGATTGGTAAGGGAGATATGAGCAATTTAAGTTTACGCTCCGCGCGCGCCGACTGGAATCCGGGCGCCGCTCGCCGCTCTGAGTCGTCTGCACACTCCCTTCCTTAAGCTTCACGAGGTCATTCCTGTGTAATTTTTTGCGTACTTTCCATTTCCAGCCTTTGAAAAGGGCTCCGATGAATTTTTAGGGGCCTTGCGGTCCATTGTTGCCATTTTTTGCTTGTATTTAGGGGTTTTCCCCTGTTTTACTCACAATTCTACTGAAAAACTTACTTTAAACGGAAAACTGTGTGCGTTGAGGGAAAGAACGTAAATAAAAAATAAAAATTCATGTTTAAATTTTTCCTTCGTTGCCAAATTTTCGAGAAAAATCGTACCAAGGAGCCAAATATTTGAAAAATTGGATAAATCCCCACGCCATGGTTTATGAAAATGGGGCATAGCTTTCATATTGACGTACTTACATAACAGATCTTACCTATCTTTACAACATATTAAAAGACCATAGTTGTATATTTGGATTCCCACTATCTGAAAATTGTCTCTGAAATGGATTTCTCGCATCCTAATGTACCAATGTCCCGAGTTTCAGCTGAATTGATCAATTTTTGGAGCTTCGAGACCACGTTTTGTGAGGCTAACAATACGTCAGGGGTCACAAACGTATTTCATATATTTGCTTCTGGGTACGGTCGCCGCGACGTTGAGGAGATAGCGCGCAGTCAGGCAGGGAGGTGATGGGTACTGATAAGGATCCCTCACTACAGATGCATCGCACTGATTCTGCTAATCAATGCAATAACATCGGGTTGCAGGGATTGTAGGGATTGTCTACGCGTTGCACCAGTCACACGTGATTTTTTGTAATTATTAAGGATTTAATTTTTAATGGTCTCAGTATGAGATTGAATTTTTCGGTTTTTTCGCGTGTTTCGCAGTCTTTTTCATTAATAATGATCGAAGATGATCCACCCGCACGTTCTCAATCGAAATTATTATTTATTAGTCAATCAGAATTATTTACTCTTGTTTAGAAACTCGTTAAAGTCTCGACAATTCAGCTTCAAAAGCCAAAATCTATGACCACCGGTCCATTTCCGGGAAAAGGGCACATTTCGGAAAATTTTAAAAATTCGTCCCACAACACTGAAAGAAGTGTAAGTTTTACCAATGGTCGTTATTCATTCTAGGGTGTATAAACGTTGATATGAGTGCCCCAGTTCCGATGTGTGTCATCATCAGTGGCCAGAATGTAAGAATGAAAACTTGAAATGCGTTTTTCTCAGAAGGCCTTTTTTCGATATGTGCCCTTCTTCCGGAAAGCTCTTCAATTCTGCATGAAAGTCATTATTCATTTCCTAAAACCTTCTACATTCTATGACATATGATCTCGTAAGAAAACGTTACAAAGAACGTTACAATGATGTACTTTATTACGTTATTTCCAAAAATGTGAGTGAACGTTGGACACGGTTACAGGTTGAATAAAGTCTGACGCGTGTAAAATTGAAAAAAAAACCCTAAAAATTGGCCGAAATGGCAACAATGGATCGTAAGGTCCCTTAAAGTTCATCGCAATTTATACTGCCAAAAATGAAAATTACAGCAAAAATGCAAACGATACACCACTACGGAGGATGACTAAAGGTCGAAAAACATTCAAAAGATCTACCTCACACATAAGAAAAGACCACAAAAGGTGACATCCCGGACAGTTTTCAGATCGTGGAAATCCAAATACAACTATGGTCTTTTAATATGTTGTAAAGATAGGCAAGATCTGTTATGTAAGTACGTCAATATGAAAGCTATGCCCCATTTTCATAAACCATGGCGTGGGGATTTATCGTGGGGGGAAATGGACTGGTGGTCATAGATTTTGGCTTTTGAAGCTGAATTGTCGAGACTTTAACGAGTTTCTAAACAAGAGTAAATAATTCTGATTGACTAATAAATAATAATTTCGATTGAGAACGCGCGGGTGGATCATCTTCGATCATTATTAATGAAAAAGACTGCGAAACACGCGAAAAAACCGAAAAATTCAATCTCATACTGAGACCATTAAAAATTAAATCCTTAATAATTACAAAAAATCACGTGTGACTGGTGCAACGCGTAGACAATCCCTACAATCCCTGCAACCCGATGTTATTGCATTGATTAGCAGAATCAGTGCGATGCATCTGTAGTGAGGGATCCTTATCAGTACCCATCACCTCCCTGCCTGACTGCGCGCTATCTCCTCAACGTCGCGGCGACCGTACCCAGAAGCAAATATATGAAATACGTTTGTGACCCCTGACGTATTGTTAGCCTCACAAAACGTGGTCTCGAAGCTCCAAAAATTGATCAATTCAGCTGAAACTCGGGACATTGGTACATTAGGATGCGAGAAATCCATTTCAGAGACAATTTTCAGATAGTGGGAATCCAAATATACAACTATGGTCTTTTAATATGTTGTAAAGATAGGTAAGATCTGTTATGTAAGTACGTCAATATGAAAGCTATGCCCCATTTTCATAAACCATGGCGTGGGGATTTATCCAATTTTTCAAATATTTGGCTCCTTGGTACGATTTTTCTCGAAAATTTGGCAACGAAGGAAAAATTTAAACATGAATTTTTATTTTTTATTTACGTTCTTTCCCTCAACGCACACAGTTTTCCGTTTAAAGTAAGTTTTTCAGTAGAATTGTGAGTAAAACAGGGGAAAACCCCTAAATACAAGCAAAAAATGGCAACAATGGACCGCAAGGCCCCTAAAAATTCATCGGAGCCCTTTTCAAAGGCTGGAAATGGAAAGTACGCAAAAAATTACACAGGAATGACCTCGTGAAGCTTAAGGAAGGGAGTGTGCAGACGACTCAGAGCGGCGAGCGGCGCCCGGATTCCAGTCGGCGCGCGCGGAGCGTAAACTTAAATTGCTCATATCTCCCTTACCAATCGTTTCCCTGGGAGCTATAATATATCAAAAGAAATGGAAAAGTACGAATAATACAATGAACAGTTTTTTTTCCGAATCGAGAATCCGGCATTTGACGATATACTAGGGTTGAAAAAAAATTGACCCTTAAGAAAGTGTGAAAAATGGCATCATTGCAATCTGAAATTACCTAAACGATCAAATTGAGTACATATTTCAAAAGAACGCAATTTTTGGAGAATTTTAGCGCAAACTGCATCTCAATATCTCTTTTCGTTCAAAAGATATGGAACTCGACGGTTTTCAACTTGGCAACGCTGCTACGCGGAGAGAAATTCGTTTCAGGCCTTGAAATTTTGGGAAAAGGCGTATCCCATAGTGAGGAATGACATACTGAAATTTGGTCAACATCCATGAGGGGGGAATTTTTGTCGATTTTGCACCCACCCCTTTATGGAAGTTGTTAGTTTTTGGAGTCAAATCAGAGTTTGGCGCACCCCCTTTCCTTTACCTTAATCGGTTTGATTCATCCGTCATTTAATGTTTAGCTAGAGAAGTGATGATAAACTTCCTTCTTTTTTTATAAAAAATGTTAGAGTCTTCCTTTGATCAGTGAAGAGCCTTTACTCTTAAAAGCTGTTAGTCAGCATTTGTAAAGAAAAAGGCTTCCTAAAATTAAAATGACCTTCACTTTGGATGACAGTTATAATTCTACATAACAAATGCATTCTCCTGAAACAACAGAACCGTAATTCGTTGAGTAGAATCAGAGCCAAAATGATTTAAGTCATGCAGGCGTCCATCCTAGAAACCCTTCTTTACGCTGCTGCAGTGTCGATGAGAATAGTACAAACAGTTAAAATTGCATACTCATCATGTAATTTTCCGTCTAACAAATGAAGAAACACTCAATCGTTGTGGACGTACACCAAACAACTGCAACCTTCAAAGAAAGAGCAATTTTTCATCAAAATCCTTTGCTATCTTCTAACAGCCTCAGTTTCTTGTCAAAAAATGACCTTCTGTATTAAGGAATGACAAATGATTTTATATTCATTATATTTTGCATGAAAGTACCCCCCCCCCCCCCCCCNCAAGTGATACTAAAATTTAGTTCATTAAAGTCAGAATTAGAGCGACTTTAAGAGCCCGCCAAATTTCCACGTTGAATGTCTGCCCTTCTTTCTGCCTCCGTTTGAGAAATGCCTGATAGGCTGTAAATGCTTACAATATCATTTAGTTTTTACCCCTGATAGCTGATGAGTTTTGATATGCAAGTCATGATGGGGCAGCAGTAGTGCACTCTGTAGGATACTGAAGTAACTTACAGCTGACAGACAGTGCTCTCCAAGTTCCAGAAGTTCCCTAACTACAGCTTTCGTAACGCCTGTCCATATGGCCTAGTGTCATTGACCTGGTTCTAGACAAAAAAAGCCGTGGTAGTCTGTGATGGGAAGAAAGAACGGTGCACTGTCGGGTGAAGACACGAGGAAGCTCTCTGATTTAGGGAAGGGAGAGGGACCCACGATTTCTCGTAGGTGGTTTGCTCGACAAGAATCCTGTCGGGCTAAGAGAATCGCTCCTTGAATGCTCGTAGGGAGAATGGGGGCGAACTGATCAAGCAAGCTTGAACTGAATCAGTCGGCCGGGCAATCTCTTGATGCAGCACATTGCTTTTATACTCCGGAGAGAAGGTCGAGCATACGAGATCAGTGGCTGAGCAGCGTAGACACAACTGCAGTCGATGACACTCGAATGCTCTGGTGTCAATATTCAAACGCACACAAACCAACAGTGTATCGTTCTTTCTTCCCATTACAAGTCGTCAATGAATTGTTTTTAGATCCACTTTTCACATGCTTTGGTGCTCCTTACCATTTAAGTGTAAAAATGACAAACCTCCAGTGTTCGTAATTATTATCTTCTGTTTCAGAGGAGGATGGGAAAAAGAACAAGAAAAGTTAATCGGCAAAAATGACATGAATGATACTGTTGATGAATTGAACTACACTAGACGTAGGAAGCTGGTTCCTTCTGGCATTGGTAAAAAACTAAGCTTGCAGTCGGGTTCGTTTCCTTGCTTATTACTAACCATCATATCTGCTCTTTTGTATTGTAAGGACCTGATTTAAAGTGATCATTACTAGCCCACTGCATGTAAACTAAGAGAGTTTATTTACTGAAAAACTGCATTTGTAAAGTAATAATACTATTCCATTCCCCCCTCCCCTCCTTAAAAAAATTACAAAAATTTTTATCGCAATTTTTGAAGTGTGGTACACATTGAATTTCCGCAACTGAGTAGGTAATCGTCATACAAGTTAAAGCATAACATAAAATGTGGAAGAAGCCAAAAAAAATTTCTCTTATGAGGGTGAGAGAGGAAGAGTGACGGCATGCAGGAGAAATTTGTGTCCAAAAGTTTCATTCCAATTCATGGTTCGTGTGGCCTTGAAAAGTGCTTGAGTTTGAAATCCTTTTTCAAGGCCTTGAAAGTGCTTGATTTTTGGGGAAGGTGCTTGAAAAGTGTTGGAAATTCGCTCTTCCTTTATTTTCAGTGGTTAATGCTCTTATTAAGGAAAAAACAAAGCATTTGGCGTCAAATAAATCGTTTCAAAAGACAATCGATTTATGAAGGAAATCACGATCCATCGTCAAAGAGAACCATTTGCTGACCTCTTATTTTCTTTTAAAGAAAGGGTATGGCAAGAGCCCCCCTAAATTTTTGACTTATAAGGAGGTTTGTTTAAAAAAAAAAGGAAGAGGCAAATTCTCATACAGGGTGTTTCAGACCACCTGTACCAGGCCTTTTTCTCGGTTGGTTTAGGTCGTACGAAGTCGGAGACTGCGGGGTTGAATGGGGAATTGACCCCAAGGAATCCGAATTTTGTGGTCCCGAAACCCCCCCACCTCCCCTTGGGGGATAAAGGGGGGGGGTCACGATGCTAAAAGTCACGGTTCCCGACCGAATTGCGGATCGATCGCATTAGAATTGAAAAGCACGGAAAATTTCACGTGGAATTGACCCCTAAAAATCCAGAATCGGACCATCCAAGGCCCATAAATGATCCCCTAAAGAGGGGGACAGTACCGTCCCTCCATAATTTCTCTTTGGTCTCAAAATTGACGTAAATTCTCTAGAAAAGGACGGTTTCCCAGGTAATCGACCTCGAGAAATCCAAATTTCATGGTCTCGAAGCTCCTCCAGCGCCCCTTGGGGGGTAAACGGGGGGGCCCAATTTTAAAAATCGGGGCTCCTCTCCGAATCGCAAATTGATTGCATCCAAATTGAGGAGCAGAACACATTTACATCTTAAGTGACTCCTAAGAGTTCTAATTGACCCCCCTGAACGGCAGAAAGTAACCCCCTGAGGAAGGGGGCCTCGCCCCCGCCAAAAATTTCTCAGGATTCCTCTTTGGTCGCAAAATTGACTTCGATTCTCCAGAAAAAGACCGTTTCCCATGTAATTGACCCCGAGGACTCTAAAATTCATGTTCCCTGAGGTTCTTGGGGTCGATTACATGGGAGACCGTCTTTTTCTGGAGAATCGACGTCAATTTTGCGACCATTCAGGAATCTTGAGAAATTTTAGGCGGATACGAAGCCCCCCTCCTCAGGGAGTTGCTTTCTGCCGTTCAGGGGGTCTATTAGAACTCTTAGGAGTCACTTAAGATGTAAATGTGTTCTGCTCCTCAATTTGGATGCAATCAATTTGCGATTCGGAAAGGAGCCCCGATTTTTAAAATTGGGCCCCCCCGTTTACTCCCCAAGGGGGGCTAGAGGAGCTTCGGGACCATGAAATTTGGATTTCTCGAGGTCGATAACCTGGGAAACCGTCTTTTTCTGGAGAATTTACGTCAATTTTGAGACCAAAGAGAAATTATGGAGGGGGGTACTGTCCCCCTCTTTAGGGGATCATTTATTGGCCTTGGATGGTCCGATTCTGGATTTTTAGGGGTCAATTCCACGTGAAATTTTCCGTGCTTTTCAATTCTGATGCGACCGATCCGCAATTCGGTCGGGAACCGTGACTTTTAGCATCGTGATCCCCCTTAACCCCCCAAGGGGAGGTGGGGGGGTTTCGGGACCACAAAATTCGGATTCCTTGGGGTCAATTCCCCATTCAACCCCGCAGTCTCCGACTTCGTACGACCTAAACCAACCGAGAAAAAGGCCTGGTACGGGTGGTCTGAAACACCCTGTATTGTTTTTCTACTATTTTTTTTTATTTCTCCAAAATCCTTCAAATGATAGTGAAAAAAACCAATACCAACCCAGACAAGTCAGTCATTATTATTGCCATCTTTTTGGAGTCCACTTCCCTTCCCCGTCCGGCATTGTGCCTCGCTCGACTGCAGCTAGTGTCTTGTAGTATTGCTTGAGCTCCCATAAGAAATGCACTGCATTTGAACTTCCTGCCGCAATGTGTAGTAAGGTCTCAAAATTCATCCACGGAATCACAGGAATGACTGACCTGTGTGTATTGGTCTTTTAATGCTTGAAAGAAACCTCCAAATGAGTTCAAAGTTATCAGAATCGAAGTGCGTAAATGCATTTGTCTTGCCATATTTTTAATTTCATCAAACAGTTTAAATTAATGAAGAAATACAATAATGAATGAAAAATAAATGTTGCTAAGCCATTTTTTATTTATTTATTTTTTTTATTTTTGAAAGAAGCAAAAGATTTAGGTACCTAAATAATTAATATCAATGAATCAATCACACCTACAATCCTTCACCGCCACCCTCCACCTTGAAAAAATTTCACCTACCTTCGGAAACCAGAGATGATCTCCCCGTCTCATTTATTACATGCTGTTGAACACCGAGCTAGGTACAAGTTACATGTCTTGAAAATACATGATAATGATAAAAAAAGAAGAAGCTGTGGGAAATAAGACAGACAAAATTCTCACTGTAAAAAATCACAATACGAGGAAAAATTGTGTGCTTAGGAGAAAATTAAGAAAAAGTGCTTATTCCTAAATGCAAATTCCTAAAAAAAAAGTGCTTGGAAAGTGCTTGATTTTTTTATCTTAGCCGGACGAACCATGCAATTGGTTCAGTCGATCACAAGGTTTTATCTCTTACCCCATCTCATGTTCCATGGGGTCGGTAGGAAATCGACCCTCTATTTGCTCTGTCTGGAAAGACGCTTTATCAACGCACAGAAAACTGAGTGATCTTATCATGATCAAATAATTGCCGTTTTTGACAAGGTTTCAATTCTGATTCTCTGAAGCTTTTTAGTTAAAGGTCAATTTCTATCTGCCAGATCAACTAATTTAACCTAATTCAACGCTTCAATTTGTCGATATAAAGCACATTTAGGACCAATAGATAGAATAAGACAGGATACAGTTGTATCACCTTATGAAGGAAGAGGAATTGAAAATAGAATGTTGTTTCACCGAAAACATTATTTTGAGAAACTTTCTTACAAGATATAACAGGAGACCAAATGTTTTAGGACTGGTATAGGGGCAATCTCAAAGAAAGATGCTTGAAAAATTATAAGAGGGTTGCTAGGACTGATTCTCAGAATTGGAAGAAGAAACACTCGCTATTACGTCTCTAAGACCTTATTACACTTTAAAGCCAAACTCTTGGTTTATTGTACTGAATGTAATTTCCTTTATGTCTCCTTTGGCCTAATTAAAGTCTCAGCTGAAATGATGATGAAATACCATTATACATGTCAAAACTATGTGTATGAAATTGTCAATGTTGGTTCTCACTTTCCATCTTGGGTTGAGTATGATTACCCTGAACCTAGTATCCACAAGAAGTTTAAGGGAAATTTACCCCCAAACTAAGTAGGTTCTCTCTTAACAGGGCTGTGTGGCAGTATTTGACTTTTTGCCGCCCTGAGGCAACTAGAACTTACCCTCACTCATAATGATGCTAGCAGGGAAAAGCTCATACCAGAAGGGATCTAGGGAGCCTCCTGAAAATTATCAAAAAATGATGTCCTTTTCGAGTATGTGTCTTATTTTTCTCAAATGTTAATATTGTAACCGCAACATTAAAAACATAAAAATTCCAAGAGGATTTTTTGCTATTTCCCTCTGAAATTTTTCATCCCGAGTCAACTGCCTCTGTTGTCTATCTTAAAAATCCAGGCGTGAAGGTCTGATGTTATGTCTAGCTCAAATTGTAACAATTTTTGAAGAAAATTGCCTAATATTGTTCGAATGTAAAAATATTTGTTGAATGTTGTTGAATGTAAAAATTAATACTGGAACAAAAAACTCTTAGATGCAAGTTGATCCTGAATATTATGCTAAATGTCCTCAAGCTCAAATTAAACTTGCTTTAATTGGTTTAAAATGATTAACACTTCAACTGAACTTGCAAACTAACATTTGTCAATGGCCCTTCGGGCGCTTGCTGCTGCTCAGCATGCATCCTATACTCAAGCCACTGCTTCTCTTACCAGAATCTATGGAAACTATCATCCTTTGTGATCCAGAAGGCTGTACCACCCTCATAACTTTTTCGCGAATTTAGCCATCGAGTTAAAACCTTTAGAGTGCCTCTAGGTCAAAGTGGGGTACTTTATAGCCTCTCAAAATTTTGGAGAAGTTCCTTTAAGGTTGGGCTGGCATGGTTTTTTATCCCAATGCGACCGCTTCTCTGTGATTCGTCGTTGAAAAGGGTAAGAGAAGTTTTTTGGGCGCAAACTTAAGGTTTATCAGCGTTTCAAAATTGCAGCCGATCGAATTTTATAAGAACCGAGAAAATATCTCAGAAACCTATTAACTGATTTTCTTTGAGCTTGCATACGTTTTTCGGAACACTGAGTACGAATTTGATGTTAATTTTTCAAAATACCTAGTTTGCTCCAAGGTGGCGATGCCCCAATGCTATTAATTATAGGAGCGACATAGGGTGTCCCACTTTGAAGGTCACCTCCGAATTTTGATGATGGCACCCTCTAAATCGTTCAAAGTCACTAAGATAAATTTAATGTCTTGAAAAAATGGCCAATGTAACCTCTGATACTCTCTTATCAATACTATTCTTTTGAAGCAACTCTTTTGTAAAATACAAATCATCTTGAAGGGCAATTATTGTTAGCTGAGGTTGGTACCAGCATAGTTTAAACATCTTAGACTGAATAAGCAAACTTTTTGAAGGTTGAAGGTCTTTCAAATCACATTCTTTTGCATCAAATTGATGCCGAAAAATAGCCACAGTTTCGAAATCAGAGGGATGAACTGTCCTGTTACTATCGCTGAAGCGTCAGTTTTTAAGAATTCAAGAACAAAGCACTCATGCATTTCCTCTATTGTTTAGGCACCTTGCTACTTTTTTTTGGAAGACTAACCTCGTTTGTCTGAAGTATTTTCAATCAGTTTTTCATCATTTCCTACAGAGCATCTGTTAAAGTATTTTAGAAGAAAGGAATGATGCCGTTTCTAATTGTTTGGCGCTTGGGTCCATTCCCATTTATTTTAGTAAAATTACTTTTTTGTCAAAAATACAATTTATTTTTTCAAAAGAAAAATTCAAATCATGCTCTTTCACTTTTAATAAGTAAGTACCACTTTAATGAAACATTACGTCGACATTTAAAATGTAAGACTATGAATAAAAATATAATCTTTGATGGAAAAAAAAAGTCCCTCGCACCTAGACGCATCCTGCGACTCAGGAAACGCTGAATTTATGGTTGAAGATAAGAGGGGGGGGGGAGGGGGTTAATAAAGTGAAGAATGAATTTCAGTCATGATGAGTATCAATGGTACGTTTCGTGTTTAATTTAACTTTGTCAGCTGAAAAAATCGTCATAAGACAGTAATACAAAATCTTGAAATTCTTGCGTTTTTAGCCAATTTTGAGGGTTTTTAGCTAAAAACAGGACTGCATGAGGGCGTCAACAATAATTTTTCTTTAAAGTACCCTAACTTATGCTCTCACTGTGAAATTTTTTAGGCTCTAGCTTATTTCTTATGTTGTGAAAAAAATACGTCAAAATGTGGAAAATGCATAATTTGGCCCAAGGCTAGGGGGTGTGGTTTTTGGCCGTGCACAACCCTTAAAAAATTGTTTAGAATTTTTTTCTTTAGTGAAATCTTATTTTTATAAGTGAGCTCAACGATTTAGAGGGTGCCATCATCAAAATTCGGAGGTGACCTTCAAAGTGGGACACCCTATGTCGCTCCTATAATTAATAGCATTGGGGCATCGCTCAATTTGGATTGCTTCATGATGTAATCTCGCCCTCGCATTTTCCTCCCTGATTAGCGCTTTCAGGGCATCGAAATTGAACGCATGGCCTCTTTCCTGCTCATGCTGATGCAATGCTGTTTTTTCCTTCTTATCATATATATTGGATCGGATCTGCTCCCCCAAGTATCGTTCCGGTATGCCCATGTAAGACCCTTCGCAATTTGTGCAGTCAATTTCATACACGATATTTGAAGCTTTCTCCGGTGGCACGCTGCTCTTCAATTTTGAAAAAAGATGTTTGCTTGAATTCTGACCGCAGAAAACGGGCTGAAACTTGTAAGGTTGCCAACATTTTCTCCATTTTTCGCTTAAGCCTCTTACTTACGGTACTTTGACCAGCCCACTAGCATCTATTTTTTCTGCAGGTTACCTTCTCTGCCCTATCTCACATTTGTACCCGAATTTCCATGATAACTTCTTCTACAATCCTGGTGGATATCCGTTATTTAGCAGAAGGTCATAGGCTCTCTTCGTACTTTCTGGACAATAACTCTTGTCCGATAATCTAATTGTGCGCTGAAACAAGTTATCCACAACATTCACCTTCCAATGATATGGATAAATAAATGATGAATAGATTAAAAAAAATTATAATAAAATAATAAATACATTTATTTATAAATATGTAAATTCGAATAACATGCATATTCGTTATCTACAACCCATGACTGATGCTCGTTGCATGGTCTTTGGTCCAGGTCGGAGATCAGGATTAGAACGCAATAGTGTACTTCCCTTGGGAAAATACAATAAAATGCAAAGATTACTGAAAAAAAAAATTAAGTTCATTTTCAAATTTTCCCATTTAAAAGACAAACTTGTCTTTTAAGGAAAGTCCCTGATGAATTAATTTGTAAATAAATGCTGCAAATATCCTTCCTCGAACCAAGTAGTTCCAAAAGTAATAGATTAATAGTCGCTCAGTAAGAGGTCGGTCTACCGCAGTAAAATGGGTCTATAAGTCAAAAAATAAGAAGCAAAATATCAAGAAAAAGTCAGCCGTTTTTCATGAAGAGTGTTTGCTTTTGCCCTCTACCCAGCATTTACTTTATCCTCCTCCCACCCCCACCCATGAGGGCACCAACCCACTAGCTCGAACTCACTAGCTGAGAGGCCCTTCTCTTAGGGCTCTAGTCCTCTTGATAGTATCATCTGATGGACCCGCTGATAACATGACCGGAGGGTTTCATTATGAACTTCTGTCATGGAGGGAGGGCTCCTGTTGATGACAGCGTCAGGACTGAAACTGTTGAAAACAGCATTTGATGATAACATCTAAGGCCATTGTTGATGATATCAGAGGTCTCTCACGATCACTCCCGGACAACGTCATTGGAGTTGCCTGCCGATGATGTTATTGGAGGTACATGTCGATCAATTTGAAGCTATAATTTCGACATAGTAATCATACCTTGACTTGTCGATGATTTGAGCATCCATCTTCTTATTTTCAATGTTAGGCAAATTTTCGCGTGTGAATTTGGTTCAGGTTTTACATCAAGACAAAATTCCCACCGGGCGACAGTGCTCCTACAACACTCAGTTTTCATGCTGGCAGCATTGACGACCACATCCAAAATTCTCGACTCTCCTCGAGAGGTGGATCGAAAAGTGGATGGATGCAAACATTGGCCACAATTATCAAGCAACCGAGTTTAGCTCTTGAGTTTAGCAGAGCATTCTTCTCCATTGGTTTGCAACCCTGCCAATCTAGTTGAAAAAGTCGACCACATCCTCTTGCGAAAATTCGGCGACTATAATCTTGATTTGATCACAATATGCTTCAGCCAGTATTTAGTCATTTTTTTTTTTCAAAAGTTTGCAGACGCTTCAAAAGTTTTTCCTTCCATCAATCACTACAAATTTTCTAATTTATATCTTTAGCAACCCATTCAAGGAGTGAAATTTTGCCTAAGTATGACTTTATCAAAAATGTATGTTCTCAGCATGTAAAATAATGCAGTAATTTCCTTTTTTCACTGTAGGTAAAGTTTTCCCAAGTGAAGAAGATGAAGATGGAGAGTTTTTTGATGCAGCTTGTCTAGCCGATCTGAAAGAAGGACGAGTTCGACTCTCTCCAGACCGAGATATACGACGTACGTCTAGTCGATTAAGTATCTTACAAGCGAGAAACTCATTATGCCCACCTCATCTGAAATCATCTTACCCCGCTGAAACGCAATTTCTTCATCCGTCTCAAATCAAAGAGGATGACATAAAGGTACTCACTGATAATTCAAAGGTATTATTTTCAGTCTTCATTATTCCTCTAGTCTTTGTCTCACCACGAATTTGTTCACATTTAGTCAGTATTTTGTTTGTTCGCATTTTTGGTTCTGAGAAACCCATTATCAATAGTTTTACAGGAATATCGATTTTGCTAAAAATCCTGATAAAACGGGAAAACATGGTCATCATTTTTGGACTTAGCACGGAAATATACACCAGGAACATCTAACATATGTAGTTTGTTCCTTTATGAAATATTGCATTTTCCCTCGAAAGCCCTTTTTTCCTAGGAAAACTCGATTTTCTGGAAAACCCGTGTGAAAAATGGTAATCATTTTTGGACTCAACTCAAAAAGAATTTTTTATGAACATCTTTAACATGTTAAGCTTTTTTTTATGCAGACTTACGTCATTATAATAGACTTGATACCTTTATTACTCCTTGCAATGTTACCACATGTTTCACTGTTAAAAGAAAGGGTTCACACATTTTTCAAGGTGTCTGATAGAGGCTACCCCACCAATATTTCTCTGTTAAAGCCAAATACTAGCATCCCAGAAAACTGATTTTTCTTTAAAAAATAGTTTCTCCTTGGTCCTCTCGACAAAATCGGAAAATCCGTGTTTTTCATTGGCATTCCTGTATCATCAGATGCCAACATAGCTAAAAAATACGCAGAAAAGTGGAGAAGTAACCGCCTCTGACTCATGAAGATCAAAGGCTCTAGAAACTGGATGAAGTCCGCATTGTGCCGTTCGTTATCTTGGTCACAGATTTAACTTTTCACACATTCCTGGATGACCTAAAGTGGCTACATTTCCTCGTTTAGTCAGTCACACACAGGTCACAGGTCCTAAAAGCTGTGATTCTTCACACTTGTAACATCACCCGAGTTTACTTACGTCTAAAATCAGCCGCATCATTACCTTCAATCGCTCCAAAATTAAGTGAACTGTGCCAGATTTTTCCAACAGATAATGATAATAATCATAAAAAAGAGAAAAAAGGATCCATTTACGGGGTGTTTTAGACCACCCGTACCAGGCCTTTTTCTCGGTTGTTTTAGGTCGCACGAAGTCGGGGACCGCGGGGTTGAATAGGGAATTGACCCCAAGGAATCCGAATTTCGTGGTCCCGAAACCCCCCCCCCAGCCCTTGGGGGGTAAAGGGGGGGTCACGATGCTAAAAGTCACGGTTCCCGGCCGAATTGCGGATTTATCGCATCAGAATTGAAAAGCAAGGAAAATTTCACGTGAAATTGTCCCCTTAAAATCCATAATCAGCCCATCCAAGGCCCAAAAATGACCCCCTAAAGAGGGGAACAGTACCCCCCTCCATAATTTCTCTTTGGTCTCAAAATTGACGCAGATTCTCCAGAAAAAGACGGTTTCCCAGGTAATCGACCCCGAGAAATCCAAATTTTATGGTCCCGAAGCTCCTCTAGCTCCCCTTAGGGAGTAAACGGGGGGCCCAATTTTAAGAATCGGGGCTCTTTCCGAATCGCAAATTGATTGCATCCAAATTGAGGAGCAGAACACTTTTACATCTTCAGTGACCCCCAAGAGTTTTAATTGACTCCCCTGAACGGGAGAAAGTAACCCCTGAGGAGGGGGGCTGTGCCTTCTCCAAAAATTTCTCAAGATTCCTCTTTGGTCGCAAAATTGAAGTCGATTCTCCAGAAAAAGACGGTTTCTGCCCAAAAGGGCGGGTAGCGGAGCTCAGGGACCACGAAATTCAGAGTCCTCAGGGTCGATTACCTGGAAAACCGTCTTTTTCTGGAGAATCGACGTCAATTTTGCGACCAAAGAGGAATCTTGAGAAATTTTTGGAGAAGGCAAAGCCCCCCTCCTCAGGGGTTACTTTCTCCCGTTCAGGGGAGTCAATTAAAACGCTTGGGGGTCACTGAAGATGTAAAAGTGTTCTGCTCCTCAATTTGGATGCAATCAATTTGCGATTCGGAAAGAGCCCCGATTCTTAAAATTAGGCCCCCTGTTTACTTCCTAAGGGGAGCTAGAGGAGCTTCGGGATCATAAAATTTGGATTTCTCGCGGTCGATTACCTGGGAAACCGTCTTTTTCTGGAGAATCTACGTCAATTTTGAGACCAAAGAGAAATTATGGAGGGGGGTACTGTTCCCCTCTTTAGGGGGTTATTTTTGGGCCTTGGATGGGCTGATTATGGATTTTAAGGGGACAATTTTATGTGAAATTTTCCGTGCTTTTCAATTCTGATGCGATTAATCCGCAATTCGGTCGGGGACCGTGACTTTTAGCATCGTGACCCCCCTTTACCCCTCAAGGGGAGGTGGGGGGGGGGTTTCGGGACCATGAAATTCGGATTCCTTGGGGTTAATTTCCTATTCAACCCTGCGGTCCTCGACTTCGTACGACCTGAAACAACCAAGAAAAAGGCCTGGTACGGGTGGTCTGAAACACCCTGTACATCACGATAGAATGAGATAGGTTACATACTTCAACCAGCCCCTTTTAAGAGAGCTCTAACTGAATAGGAGCACAGTGTAATTGAGTATTTTTTTAACAATATATTGTGGCCTATGTTTCAGTTGGGATTAGGAGAAAATTATTCAGACACGGCCAGCACAACTTCAAACTCGGATAGGAAGAAGAAAGATGCAGGCCAGGTACTAATCTCATTTTTAAATTTTTGCCTCACGCAAGGTATATCAATAATGGTAGCATCTTCCTTCTTAAACTGAGGGTACTTAAAAGTCGTTTCGGACAAAGACATTGAATAGAGTAGACCGTGCGCTGTGAAATTGAGCGGTGGCCTCTTCTCTTCCATTCGCATGCCACACGGATCGTTGAGTGCGGGAACACCGAAACGGCACCGGGGAAGTTGTGAGCCCCAGCCGTCCCCAGCTCGAGGTAAACAAACAGTGCGCTTATACAAGGTTGGTACGGTTCGGCTCCGAAATTTTTAATTATTCATTGATTAGTGCGAATATTTTCGGCTGATGTGTTCTTTAATTATAATCAATGTTTCTGTGTGAAGATGTGTTTTAGTTTTCATGATTAAACACTACACAACTCTCAATTGAGGACCATGCACCAAGGACAGCCTATAAGCGTATAAGTCGTTATTACGCCCATCTGCTTTTCGGATTCTACGTACCCTTGACTATGCTGTGGTAGCGATAGAATATAGATAGGTGTCGAAAAACCTTTTTTTTCCAAGTTAAGTCAGGCCTCTGGATCGATGGGTGCAAGAACGACCTATAAACGGGCCTATAAGGTTACCACGGGTTACTTACTATAGGTTACGGGCTAGTTACCCCTTTCTTTACTCACTATCGATATTCTTTCATTTTGCGTTAATCATGCGTGATTAAAATGATTTACACTTCATATTGCCACCAAAATGACTGTTGGTCGTAATAATGGCCTATAAACCGCTTTTTTAAATTAAATATATTAGAGTGTGAACCCAAAATGTATCGCAAAATCTACCCGGCATTCTTCAATAGAAGGGTTAGGTCACCCAAAAACATTTCATTGCGTTTTGGTCACGCACAACAAACACATTTTCAGGTTCGAATTTCGTCGAAGAGGACAACACTTCACTTGAAAGCACTGTTTTCATTGGCTCTCTAGAGAAATTTTGTCACTTACTGCTGTCTTGCCTGAAACTACGTCATTTTTTGCTCACTTGCGTCTTTCTCATATGTCTCGTTTCCAAGAAAATAAGATGAATTTTGCTGTTTTAGCTATTTCTGTGATTTCATCTAAAATAGATTAGACGAATTTCGAAGGAGCCTTGATTTCGAAATTTGACCCTTACTGCTCTCTTTGCTATGACAGCAGTAAGGAGAGCGTTACTCGATTTTGTTTTTACATCTCAAAGGATTGGAACCGACATCACTGAAGCTAGACGAGCGGGGAGAGGGGAGGTTTGAAAACTCCAAGTTCAGCATTACATATTTTGTGAACAATCCCTAATCGCACGCAGTGACAAGGCGTGCTTTGCGATATATTGATTGATCTACCATTTAAACTTATGGAAAATGATTGATAGACAGGATGTTTGCAACGAACACCTTAATCATCGATTCTTTACCATAGCTTGAAATGGGGAAAAATCGATACATCACAAGGCACGCCATGCCACTGATCGCACAGTGATCGAATACACACATTTTTGGCGTTAATGGTACCACTGAGACTATTTCATGGCCCAAAAAATGTGCAAGAGGAACTGTAGACGCACTTCTCTCTTGACGGCGAGACCATATTAAACATATTAGCAAAAGCGTATTAAATTGTAGATGATGACATTTTCTCTTTATTTTCTCATGGTTTAGCATTTTGATTGAATGTTTTGCTTCTCTAAAAATCTATCAGATGGGTCAACCATCAGATCAGTCCTCCGCCCCCATTACCTCATGTGATGTACTTATCTCTAAAATATTGAAGCATATCATATCGACGGCTGAAGTGTGACAGCACGTATCTCAATTGCGGTGTCTCAAAATCTCCCCTTATAATTTATTTTTTCAAGGAGAAACAAAACAGCTTCATAGCTTGATATCTAAACAAAATATTCAAATACCTAACACAGAAAAAATTGAAGAAGTTTTGATAAAATTACGCTGACCATAAGTTTCCATGAAAAAAATAAAGTATGACTGGGAGTCTACATTCTCGCAAACAGAGATATGCGGTCTTGCACTCCAGGCATCAATATGTAATCTCTGGGCAGGTAAACACTGAACAATAACAAATCTTAACTTAATTTATGTCTACATAAATAAGCAAACGACTAAAATATACAAAATTTGTGGTTGATCGCACATCCAGTCCCTGGTTGATTTTTTTTTGAACCACCGAGTCTAATGTGAACTGTCTATTAGGAATTAGAGTACAGGGCAGCGTATGACACAAATTCGTGGATTTTCTTCTTTTTCGACAGTTTTTTTAAACAGCAATTGGAGGCAACTCTTTATTTTGAGAGTTTTTTCTGTACACATTTTCTTGTTATGCTTAATTTAAACCATTTGCTGCTATTGGATCGCACAATTATTCAAAGATTTTTTTTCTTGTTATTTCACTCCATATCATAGCTCAAGAGCTTGAAGAGGCAGCATATTTTTTCGGTAGAAAGATTTTGAGGTATATTCCTGGACAGCTAAAATGGCAGTTCAAATTTGGATTGAAATGCACAATTTGACACAATATCTTCGCTTGGCCAACATAAGGGCATAACTACACATTGAAATGAGCCCGAAAAAGCTTTGAAATGTCTGGAAGACAGGGTTCATTGTATAGTGTAATTACGCCTTTAATGTCAGGTAGGTGACGATATGCATCCCTTCAACAAAAGACAGTGGCCGGCTGCTCATGAGTATATTATGTAATTTAATTCCGGGCAAACAGCCACCAGCCCTTGATTGCTGAACGAGAGCTAAACACGGCCAAAATCTGGTCAGGCGCCACCCTGGAAAACCCGTACGCGCAATGGACAGTCTAGTCAAATGATCTTTGTCGCGACCCTTTCTCCGATGCCACATGCATTCCTCTTTCACTGTTAACTTTTCCTTTTTGTATTTCCGTCGATTTTTATGACATGACTGCCGCGAAGGGGTATGAAGTCCTGCCTTTCATCTAATTGACAACGCACTCGTGGGCTATCCTCGATTTTATAGTATGTTCAATCTTTGGGTTTAATTTGGCCTTGTGGTTGGTCAAGAGGCCAGCAACAGAGCGAAGGGTGCAAGGGGGTACTTAGAAGTGCATGTGTACGAGAAAATTTTTGAGCTATTTAGTGTTTTCACCCCACTGTTCCGCGGATATCAACATACATAATGTAGGGAGGAACCCAGCAGATGTTCAACGCTCTCGTACGAGGGAGAAACATGGTTATTGTAGGTTGCCTACCGGAAATTGCTCTTTCTTTGGAAAATAGTCAAATAGAATTATAGCAGTCTAGAAGTTTGTCTCCACTCTAAAATGAAATATTTGGAATATGTCACGTTTCTGCTTGATATGAGCAACTTTCTCTAAGCATATCTTCCTCTTGACTGATTAAAAAAAACTCCCTGCTCATCCAATACTAACCAATACTGCTGTGATAGCGGAGAGAACAGTGTCAAATTTTCTAAATAGAGATTCCTTCGAAATTCGTTCAATCTTTTTTTAGATGAAATCATTAAAATGACTAAAACAGCAAAATACGTCTTAATTGTATGAAAACGAGACATATGAGACACCCGTTAGTGCGCTAAAAATGGCGTAGTTTCAGGCAAAACAGCCATAAGTGACATTATTCCTCCAGAGAATCGATGAAAACAATGCTTTAACGTAAAAAGCCGCCTTCTTTTGCCAATATCTAACCTGAAAATGTGTTTGTTGTGTGTCCAAAATGCAATTACAAAAGCATGCGGAACATAGCACTTACGGCTTACTTGCCTTACACTAGCCGAATATGAAAGTAAATCATACCCTTTTTATGTATTTGATAAAAAATCGGTCAATTTTTAATCATCCAAACAATTTTTAGGAGTCTTTCGGACGATTAGTGATATTTGAGAAAGAACGGAGGTCTCTTTCAGTACAGTTTTCTGGTCAGATGCTTCTGAGCCTGTTCTATCAAAATTTCATTTTTGCAGTCACTGCTCTCTTTGTTATTAGGCAGAATACCGGAGGGTCCGTCTTTCGGCTGCTCTGCGGCCCAACTTACGGGGATTAGTGTTTAATTTGAAGTATCGAGAAAGCAGGAAGAAACGTAATGCAACAAACAAATTGAAAGCACAGTGGTATGCAAAGAGGATTGAACAATTGGATTACATTTTCCGATTTTTTTCTCTTTTTTCTTTTCTTTTTTGGAACTAACATTTTAGGCGCTCATCATATCCAAGTGAAGCGGTGTAAGTGCAATCCCAATCCCTCTCTCCATCAAATAATTAATGAAAGTAACTCAATTTTCAATTTGTTTTTCAAATTCATTTCCTTTACTCTCTTTGGATTGGAAATATCCGAGAATATCCCTTGTCCTAACTTCCTGTAGGCTTCTCAGTTAAAAAAGTAAAATCAGTACAAACAAAATGATGGGATATAAACCAACTAAGATGCCTTTCCGAAATGTACCCTCGATTTTTGAATATTGCCGGGAGCATATCATAATCGATGAATAAATGTACCAAGTTGGGTTCGAACCCAACATGCAACTACTTATTTCTACGGAGTGCTGGGTTGCATACGCTGGATTTTGCAGGCGAAATGTAAGATCTGCCCAGGCTTTCGCAATATGGTTATGAATAAGGGAAGTTGCATTCATTCAAATTTACACCCTCCCCTATTAATTAAACTAGGAAAAATTGAAATTTTCAGTTTTTTTACGCGTAAAAAATCAGCTCACGTGCTACGGTCATATTTAATGTATGGCGGATGAAAGACTGCTTGAGGAGGTACTAAAATGGTTTCCTCTTGGAAAGAAATGTATATGAGACGCCCAGCAAAATCTTGGATAGGTGGCATTCAAAATTTTATTACAAGGAGCTATGTACCAGATGATTTCTGTTCCGATAGACAAGGATGACGATTAGGTGTAGCAAAGCGCCCAGGCACGCTGTAAGAGTGATGGGTAAATAAAAAAAAATACATCATGATTATTGGTCATTGATACTAT